CCTGTGCAAGTTGGTCTGTGCAAGTTGCTAGGCGCAAGTGCTTTGTGCAAGTGCTCTGTGCAATTCGCAGAGCGCAAGTTGCTCTGCGCAAGTGACTCTGCGCAAGTTGTTCTGCGCAAGTGCTGCCGGAGCTGTGGGAATGTACTTCGCGTACTATTTTTGTGCTTAAAAGTTGCGATTGTCCAGCCGGAGCAGCGGGAGTGTGCTCCGCGTACTACGTTTGTACTTAAAAGTTGAGATTTTCCAGCCGGAGCTGCGGGAGCACGATCCGCATACTACGTCTGTACTTAAAAGTTGCGATTTTCCAGCCGGAGCTGCAGGAGCTCCGCGTACTACGTTTGTACTTAAAAGCTGCGATTTTCAAGCCGGAGCTGCCGCGGACCAGGGGGGAATCGAACCCGCGACTGCGGGATTGCGAAAGCAGGCGCGCGAACCACGAGACAACTTCCAAAGGCCATTTCGCGAGCAACAAACTCGCACGGCGCCACAGCGAGAGCGCTTCGACAAGCACGATCTCCGCAGAGGGTTCGCCGAGACTAAGACGAATCCGCACGGCGCCACAGCGAGAGCGCTTCGACACGCACGATCTCCGCAGAGGGTCGCGCGCGGCTTGCACAAATCGTAAAAAGCCCTCAGTTTTTGAACCTCGACCACGCGAATCTCCGCAGAGGGTCGCGCGCGGCTTGCAGAAATCGTAAAAAGTTCTCAGTTTTTGAACCTCGACCACGCGAATCTCCGCAGAAGGTCGCGCGCACACCGCAAAAATCGTAAAAAGTCCCCAGTTTTTGAACCTCGACCACGCGAATCTCCGCAGAGGGTCGTGCGCGCACCGCAAAAATCGTAAAGTCCCCACAGTTTTTTGACCTCGACCACGCGAATCTCCGCAGAGGGTCGCGCGCGCACCGCAGAAATCGTAAAAAGTCATCAGTATTTTTTTACATCGACGACGCGAATCTCCGCAGAGGGTCGCGCGCGCACCGCAGAAATCTTAAAAAGTCATCAGTTTTTAACATCGACCACGCGGATCTCCGCAGAGGGTCGCAATCCCGAGCGATGATCAAACTCCCGCCCCGGCGCCTTAGAAACCTAAACTAACTCGCCGAGCAACTTGCTCAGAGCAACTTGCGCAGAGCAATTTGCGCAAAGCAACTTGTGCAGCGCACTTCCGCATGGGCAACTTGCATCGAGCGCGCGCACAGAGCAGCATGCGCTGAGCAACTTGCGCACAGCTCCGCAGAGCGCGCACAGAAGAGCACTGGCGCGCAGCAACTTTCGTAGAGCGCAAGCACGAGCGCCGCAAGATGCTTTCGGGCCAGCTGTCTTCTATTTATTGAATCAATCGCAAGTATGTGTGTGCATAAATTCTGCATAAAGCTGCATCTGAACCTGTCAAGAACTCATTTTCTACGTTCAGTATGTTTGTGCTAAATAGGTCTTACTTTGGCAAGTAAGTAGCTAGGCGCTGAGCTAAGTCATAAACTAGATGCCTAGCGCAACAAGCAAGTCACTCACGAACACGTAGTAACTAACGCATTCTTGCTTAAATTTCAATCCAGACACATCCGCACGATGCGTCCCAGCATCCATGCGGGCACGCACCAGCTCGCACACAGACACAGACAGATGCAGACACAGACACAGACACAGACACAGACACAGACACAGACACAGAAACAGACACATGCAGACACGGACACGGACACGGACACGGACACAGACACAGACACAGACACGGACACGGACACGGACACAGACACAGACACAGACACAGACACAGACACATGCAGACACAGACACAGACACACAGACACACAGACACACAGACACAGACACAGACACGGACACAGACACAGACACGGACACGGACACGGACACAGACACAGACACAGACACAGACACACACAAACACACACACACACACATGCACAAGCACACGCACACGCACACGCACACCCACACACACACACGCAGACACACACACACAGACACACACACAAACACAAACACAAACACAAACACAAACACAGACACAAACACAAAGACAAAGACAAAGACAAACACAAACACAAACACAAACACACACACACACACACACACACACACACGCACAGACACACGCACAAACATCGCACACACGCACACACACCCTCGACCACCTGAGACCTGCAGACGCGCGCGCAAGCGCAAGCATGCGCACACGCAGACGCGCAGGCGCCGGCACCCACACACACACACACACACGCGCACGCCCACGCGCATGCCCGCGCGGACACGCACGTACACGCACCGACGCCCACGCCAGCGATCACGCATACGCGCACGACACCCACACACACACACACACTCGCACACGCGTTGTTTCTTGTGCTCCCACCCTCGATTGGAGCAGAGGCACCAGTCAGCGGGCCCCTCTGTAGTGATTTTTCTAGAGGCCCTGGGTGGAACTTGGACTTGCTATTGCTTACATTAGTGTTGCCAAGACTAGATTCCGCGTACTTACCTCACTGTCGCCAAGCTTAAGTTTAGCATTGCCAAGACTAACTCTCAGATTCCAACTTTTAGCTACAATATGGCAAAAGTTTACCTCGGGAGAGCCCGTTTTTCCAGCAACCCGCAGAAATATAGGGACTAAAGAGGGCAGTCACATAAAAGAGGATTGGGGCCTTTTGCGGGCAACCCCCGTGTGTGATTGTTTGCCCATACTTGATCTTAAAATTGGTGTGTGTGTGTGTGTTTGTGTGTATGTGTGTTTGTGCGCGTGTGCGTGTGTGTGTGTGTGATTGCTGGTGTGTGTGTGTGGGTGGGTGGGTGGGTGGGTGGGTGGGTGGGTGTGGTTGTGTGTGTGTGTGTGGTTTTGTGTGTGTGTGTGTCTGTGTGTGTGTGCGTGCGCGTGTGCGAGTGTGCGTGCATGCGTGGGGGCATGTGTGTGTGTGTGTGTGCGTGCGGGCGGGCGGGCGGGTGGGTGGGCGGGCGGGCGAGCGGGCGGGCGGGCAGGCAAGCGGCCGCGCGGGCGCGCGCGCGCATGCATGGGCGTGCTTGCGTGGGCGTGCGTGGGTGGGGGTGCGTGCATGGGGGTGCGTTCATGGGGGTGCGCGCATGGGCGTGCGTGCATGGGCGTGCGTGCATGGGCGTGCGTGCGTGGGCGTGCGTGCGTGGGCGTGCAAGCGTGGGCGTGCGTGCGTGGGCGTACGTGCGTGGGCGTGCGTGCGTGGGCGTGCGTGCGTAGGCGTGCGTGCGCAAGCGTGCGCGCGAGGGCGTGCGTGCGTGGGCGTGCGTGCGTGCGCGTGCGTGCGTGCGCGTGTGCGTACGTGTGCGTGCGTGCGTGCAGGCGTGCGTGGGTGTCTGTGTGTGTGCGCGTGCCTGTGTCTCCGTGCGTCTGTGTGTCCGTGTGTGTGTGTCTGTCTCTCTGTGTGTGTGTGCGTTTGTTTGTCTGTGTGTCTGTGTGTTTGTGTTTGTGTTTTTTTGTTTTTGTGTTTGTGCGTGTGTGCGTGTGTGCGTGTGTGCGTGTGTGTGTGTGTAAGTGTGTGTGTGTGTAAGTGTGTGTGTGTGTGTGTCTGTGTGTCTGTGTGTCTGTGTGTCTGTGTGTCTGTCTCTCTGTGTGTGTGTGTGTGCGTTTGTTTGTCTGTGTGTCTGTGTGTTTGTGTTTGTGTTTTTGTGTTTTTGTGTTTGTGCGTGTGTGCGTGTGTGCGTGTGTGCGTGTGTGTGTGTGTGTGTGTGTAAGTGTGTGTGTGTGTGTAAGTGTCTGTGTGTCTGTGTGTCTGTGTGTCTGTGTGTCTGTGTGTCTGTGTGTCTGTGTGTCTGTGTGTCTGTGTGTCTGTGTGTCTGTGTGTCTGTGTGTCTGTGTGTCTGAGTGTCTGCGTGTCTGCGTGTCTGCGTGTCTGCGTGTCTGCGTGTCTGCGTGTCTGCGTGTCTGCGTGTCTGCGTGTCTGCGTGTCTGCGTGTCTGCGTGTCTGCGTGTCTGCGTGTCTGAGTGTCTGCGTGTCTGCGTGTCTGCGTGTCTGTCTGCGTGTCTGCGTGTCTGCGTGTCTGCGTGTCTGCGTGTCTGCGTGTCTGCGTGTCTGCGTGTCTGCGTGTCTGCGTGTCTGCGTGTCTGCGTGTCTGCGTGTCTGCGTGTCTGCGTGTCTGCGTGTCTGGTGTCTGTCTGTGTGTCTGTGTGTCTGTGTGTCTGTGTGTCTGTGTGTCTGTGTGTCTGTGTGTCTGTGTGTCTGTGTGTCTGTGTGTCTGTGTGTCTGTGTGTCTGTGTGTCTGTGTGTCTGTGTGTCTGTGTGTCTGTGTGTCTGTGTGTCTGTGTGTCTGTCGTGTGTGGCGCGTGCGCGTGCGCGTGCGCGTGTGGCGTGCGGTGTGTGCGTGTGCGTGTGCGTGTGCGTGTGCGTGTGCGTGTGCGTGTGCGTGTGCGTGTGCGTGTGCGTGTGCGTGTGCGTGTGCGTGTGCGTGTGCGTGTGCGTGTGCGTGTGCGTGTGGCGTGCGCGTGCGCGTGCGTGTGCGTGTGCGTGTGTGTGTGCGTGTGCGTGTGCGTGTGCGTGCGCGTGTGCGTGTGCGTGCGCGTGCGCCGTGCGTGCGTGCGTGCGTGAGTGCGTGCGTGCGTGCGTGCGTGCGTGCGTGCGTGCGTGCGTGCGTGCGTGCGTGCGTGCGTGCGTGCGTGCGTGCGTGCGTGCGTGCGTGCGTGCGTGCGTGCGTGCGTGCGTGCGTGCGTGCGTGCGTGCGTGCGTGCGTGCGTGCGTGCGTGCGTGCGTGCGTGCGTGCGTGTGTGTGTGTGTGTGTGTGTGTGTGTGTGTGTGTGTGTGTGTGTGTGTGTGTGGGCGCGTGTGTGCGTGTGTGCGTGTGTGCGTGTGTGCGTGTGTGCGTGTGTGCGTGTGTGGGTGTGGGTGTGCGTGTGCGTGTGTGCGTGTGCGTGTGCGTGTGCGCTCCTCGAGCTCAACTTCCTGGCTCCGAGGCAAAACTGTGAGATGTGAGATTGCCATTGGCGCATACACCGCGACCAACGACCCGAACAGCGGGGCCTGGTGTGCAATTTCTCGTTGGCGCATTGCACTTGGTGGATGGACTGGGTGGCATCAGGCACTTGTACTCCCCATCCTCGCATTGGCCGACCTAAGCCAATCAGACCCAAAGCGTGGGTCGCAAAGCACAGCCAACGCTACCGTAGTACATTGAAAGCAGCAGTCTGTGCTGGTTTTGGCAAACCTCTTGCGGGGTTAGAAAAACTTGCAACCAAGAGGAGTTCAATACACCTGGGTATGCCTTTCAACAGCCCCCAAAGATTTGCGAACATGGGGCAAGCTCAATCTGGCAAGCGTCTTTCAAGAAACAACGCTTGAAGGCGCACGGCCCCGCACCTCTATATCATTCCAAATGAGCTTCCCAGTGCACACCATCAGCGCCCCGAATGTTGGGACATCGGCTCATGCGATCATGGAGCGAACCTGCCAGCCGTGCGGGTCCATCCTGCAATTGTTCCCATGCACTGCGAAGCGCACCCTTGGAATCCATCTCTCCAGCCCTTCCTTGGACTGGCTAATGTCACGCTAGTGTCTCACAGGATTCTGTTGTTTCCAAGCTACGGCCCGCGCGCTCGCGGTCGACGCCAAGCAACATCTTCAGGGATCCGCATCAATAAGCTGAAAGTTGAGACTATGTAAGAGGCTTGTTCAGATCGGCTTTGAGGACGCTAACTTGATATGATTTTTGCCCGCCTCCCCTCGAGAAACACCTTGGCGCCGTGTCACACTGCTGGCTGAGGCAGTTCTTGTTGGCGCCGTGACCCCAATCAACTTGCAGCAGGTTCGCTAATAAGCTCGACATGTCTGAACAGCCCTACACAGCTCCGCTCCCTGACGAAGGCAACGCTCGTGTCCCGACCGGCCTGCGCGGGCTCTTGCCGTGGGCCGTGCCATCCAGCGCCTTGCCTTTGTCACCCAAGGCAGCACGCGCGCGCTCCAGGAGCGCCGCTGGCAGGAAGCCTATCTTTGAACACCCAAAGTTTGGAGCAGGCCATGCGTTGTGTCCAACAATCACGCACATGCAAGAACCACACCTTTGGACGTCTTCAACGTGTGCTCATGTTGTTGGGTGTTTTAACTTGGCTCCCCCGCTGTGTCACAGAAAACAATTTCAACACGGCAGGCGGCTTCTGAGCCACAGTCACTACTGTAGATGGAGCAGGACCACCACTTCTATGAACTGCCGACTGCTTCATGCTCCCCCACCTGGTCTCGGTGAAGTTAAGGTGCGCACCGACAGCTTCTTTCAGGTCACCATGGTGGTCCAACACACGCTGCACCTCCTCCTCGCAAACTGCAAGGCTTTGGCTGCTGCATCGCGGGTGAGGTTGGAGGCCGTGATGTTTGGATGAACCCTCCTACGAGGGTTGGCCAAAAACACGGTGGATGCACAGAAATCAACTGAAATCGCCAAGCAGACCAACCAACCATGCCAATGAACCAACCAACCAGGCAGCTCGGCTCTTGCATGCGCATAGGGAAAGGCTGGAAAGGCTGCGGTTGATTTCGCAAAGCATTGGAGCCTCCAAAACCCTGACAATTGAATCAATTTGCGCACCACCATTCCCTACATCTACCAAAGCTACATAGTTCCAAGGGCGTGGGCACAGCCGCTTTGCCTGTCTTCCGCGCCTCTTCCGTGAAACTATCGAAATTCATCATTTGGTGGTAGCCTGGCTTTCACAGCAACGAAGGGAACAGCGCTTGACTTGCGGCTGCATCTCCCACCCCTTTGCCCTCGAAAACAGGTCAACTGTTTCGGTTTATGTCACAAGCCTGGCCCTTCGGCATCTCTTCCACAGCCCTTCTGCGTCTCTTGCGCGCGCACGATGGGAAGCTCATGCCACGCAAGCCTGGAAATTCTGAATACTAAACCGAGTACATTGTACGCAGCCCACCAGCTTATTCAACAGTCTTTTGGCTGGGGTTGAGGCTGCGAACAGTGGGGTGGACGTGAATTATAGTTTCTTCCTTGCAAGTTGGCCACCAACTGTGGGCCAACCTGCAGCGCCCAAATCGCCCCCGTCGCCCAGGGTGCCACGAGCCCAAGCCCCACTGTGACCAACCCGACTGTGACCGATATGGAGAAGCAACAAGCACAGAAACAGACACAGACACACAGAAACGCAGACACACGGACACACAGACACACACACACACACATGGGACACAGAAGACACACAGACACACAGACAAACAGACACGGACACACAAGCGCAGGCACAAGCGCAGACACAGACACAGACACGGACACACAGAAAAGAACATAGGCACAGACACAGGACCCGGAACGGGCACAAGCACACACAGACCCAGACACAGACACAGACACAGACGTAGAGACAGACACACAGACACAGACACAGACACAGGCACAGGCACAAGCACAGGCACAGGCGGGCACATGCACACAGGCACAGGCACAGACACAGACACAGACACACATGCAGACACACAACAGACACACACGGGCACACACACAGACACACACACACACAGACACACAGACACACGCAGACACACACACACACAGACACACACAGGCACAGACACAGACGCAGACACAGGCCAGGCGCAGGCACAAGCACAGGCACAGGCACAGGAACAGACACAGACGCAGACACAGACACAGACACAGGCACAGGCGCAGGCACAGGCACAAGCACAGGCACAGTCGCAGATATAGGCACGGACACAGACACAGACAGAGACACACAGACAAAGACACAGACACAGACACAAACACACACACACAGACACAGGCACAGTGTCTGTGTCTTATGTGTGTCTGTGCCCCTGTGTCCCGTGTCTGTGTGTGTGTGTCTGTGTGTCTGTGTCTGTCTGTGTCTGTCTGTGTCTGTCTGTGTCTGTCTGTGTGTCTGTGTGTGTGTGTCTGTGTGTGTGTCGGTGTGTGTCTGTTGTGTGTCTGCCTGTTGCTGGTGCCTGTGCCTGTGCCTGTGCCTGTGCCTGTGTCTGTGTCTGTGTCTGTGTCTGTGCCTATATCTGTGTCTGTGTCTGTGTGTGTGTGTGTGTCTGTGTCTGTGTCTGTGCCTGTGTCTGTGTCCGTGTGTGCCTGTGCCTGTGCTTGTGTGTCTGTGTGCGTCTGTGTGTCTGTGTGTCTGTGTTTGTGTCTGTGTTTGTGCCTTTTATCTGTGCCTGTGTCTGTGTCTGTGTGTGCCTGTGCCTGTGCTTGTGTGTCAGTGTGTGTCTCTGTGTATCTGTGTGTCTGTGTTTGTGTCTGTGTCTGTGCCTATATCTGTGCCTGTGCCTGTGCTTGTGCCTGTGCCTGTGCCTGTCCGTGTCTGTGTCCGTGTCTGTGTCTGTGTCTGTGTCTCTGTCTGTGTCTGTGTCTGCGCCTGTGCTTGTGCCTGTGCCTGTGTCTGCGCTTGTGTCTGTGTCTGTGTCCGTGTCTCTGTCTGTGTCTTTTGTGTGTGTGTCTGTGTCTGTGCCTGTGCCTGTGTCTGTGTCCGTCTCTGTGTCTGTGCCTGTGCCTGTGCCTGTGCCTGTGTTTGTGCCTGTGTCTGTGTCTGCGTCTGTGCCTGTGCCTGTGCCTGCGCCTGCGCCTGTGCCTGTGCCTGTGTCTGTGCCTGTGTCTGTAACAGTGCCTGTGCCTGTGCTTGTGCCTGTGTCTGTGTCTGTGTCTGTGCGTGTGCCTGTACCTGTATTTGTGGCATACACACACACAGACACACATGGGACACGGACACACAGACACACACACACACATAAACACACAGACACACAGACACACAGACACACAGGCACACAGGCACACAGAACACACATGGGACAAACACACACAGACACAGACACACAGACACACACACACATGGGACATAGACACACAGCGCCACACAGACACACATGGGACACAGACACACAGACACACAGGCACACAGACACACAGGCACACAGACACACAGACATACAAACACACACACACAGACACACACAGACAAACACACACAGCCACACACATACATAGACACACACACAGACACAGACGCAGACACGCACAGACACACACACACAGACACACAGACACACACGCACAGACACACACAGAAATAGACACACACACACAGACACAGACGCAGACACACACAGACACACACACACACACACACAGACACACACAGACACAGGCACAGACACAGACACAAACAGAGACACACACACAGACACAAGCACAGACACAGGCACAGGCACACAGGCGCAGCACACGCACAGACACAGACACAGACACAGGACCCGGCACGGGCACAGGCACACACAGACACACACACACAGACACACACAGACACACACAGACACACAGGCACCCAGACACACAAACACACACACACACATGGGCCGGGACACATGAAAACATTCACGAACGCCGGTGCCAAGATCCCTTTGTGGGCTAGTGGCAAGGCGCATGAAGCTGAGGCCACCCCGTAAGCCAACTGCCCGAGCACGTCAACCATGGCTGTTTCCCAATTTGGGCAACAATTGCAAAGACTTGCTCGGTCAAAGTTGTCAAGAAGCAACTCCAGATGCCCAGTTTCACTGGCTGGTCTTGTTCTTGGGTTTTGGGAAGGACGCATCCGAAGCGGCTGCTTCAGCTCAAAGCTTGCGCCTCCGTCCTCTGCAACTTCGCGTAGCGGCGTAGCATTTGGAAGGCATGGGCAGTATAGAGGTCCTGCGAAGCCCATTCTTGCTTTGGTGTGGTGGATGGATCCCTCCAACCTTTACAGCTGTAAACAGTTGTATTGTTGAAAGGACCCAGAATCAGATCGTAAACGCGAATGACCAAAAGGTGAGCCGCAAAGAAAGTTATTCAAGCAAGCACGCAATACCAGGAGCCTCAACGTGAACGCCGATGCGCAGGTGCAAAACAGCTTCACGTTGCAAACACACACAGACACACACGCCACCACAGAACCGTATTCAGCAAACCGGAGCGCCGGTCTATCAAATCATACGTGGCGCAAAAGTTTATTGGGCAACCCAAGTGTGTTGCGGTCCGTTTCGCTTGTTCACCCCGCTTCCTGTTCATCCGCAGCAGTTGTGTAAACACTGCTTCTGTCTGACTAGGCCACGCAAGTGCTCAGAATGATTTTACACATGACCTGTGTCGCGTCAGTCAAGCGTGTGATTTGGGCTAGCACGAAGAGAGGAGTTGCCCTATGTCTCCTGATGTTATCAGTGCCACATGTCCGCCCAGAAATGTTCTCTGTCTCACAACAAAAACGTGGTTGCTGCGATGAAAACAAAGCGCCAGCTGACTGAGACCATGCTACAAAGTCGCAACGCGAGGCAAATCCTATGTCTGAGCTGTTTTGTAAAGAACATGCTTGAGCTTACGACGAACTTAACATAACTTCGCATAAGCCAACATAAGTACAACTTGTAACTCCGTAAGCTCAAAATGACACCTTAGCAAACCTGTCGGGTGGGGAGAAAAACACAAGACCCCAACGCCGTCCCCAAAAGACACACCTAAAGACGCCTCAAAACGATCAAGAAGGAGGCGGGCCACATTGTGGAAGCAACTGAGGCCCAGCTTTCCCCCATGAACATCCTCTGTCTGGATGTCGGCGTCCATCATGGTGCCACGTACGGCGGAAGCGAAGGGAGACAGCGCCACAACCAAGAAGCGAAACGTGGCTCTAAATTTCACAAAGATCGAAAGGTCTCGCGCAGGCAGAGACTAAGAGACTAGCTGAAGGGCTTGAGCCAGCCCATCAAGCCAGCCTATAAATTCCTCCCTCCTCCCTCCCTCGCCTCCCTCCCCTCCCCTCCCTCCCCTCCCTCCCCTCCCTCCCCTCCCCCTCCCTCCCTCCCTCTCTCCCTCTCTCTCCTTCTCTCTCTCTCTCCTTCTCTCTCTCTCTCTCTCTCTCTCTCTCTCTCTCTCTCTCTCTCTCTCTCTCTCTCGCTCTCTCTCGCTCTCTCTCTCTCTCTCTCTCTCTCTTGCTTGCTTGCTTGCTTGCTTGCTTGCTTGCTTGCTTGCTTTCCTTCTTTTCTTTTCTTTTCTGTTCTGTCTTTTTTTCTTTCTTTCCATCTCTGTGCCATATGGATTCTTAGGCCATTCTTTGACACATTTGCTGTGTGGAGATTGGGAATGTTGCAGCTAAAACGTCGCTGAGCCAAAAATACTTACTGTAGCTCATGAGCCTTCTCCACTCTTAGGAGCTCCTTTGGTAGCATCCTGGGAACACACCCCGGCCCCTTGCACAACAGCAGAATTCCATTAACTGGCGGGCCATCTTCGCATACCAGGACGGAAAGTTCCTCTCAGGAGAAACGCCCTCAACGACACCCATGTTTCTGGCATTTGTCTTGGGGTACTTTGTGGGTAAATGTGTCTCCTGCCACTTGCCATCTGTTGCGCATGACTTCCGCCCCAGTTTTGGAGCACCGGCCTCCCCGCGTCCAGGTTCGAAGTCCGATCGAGCGTGCCACTTCCTGACCCTTCAGTGACAAGAGCTGACTCTTACAGGCACGTTCCCAACATTTGCCCGCTACACCCCGAAAGCCACACTTTTGCACGCAACAAAGCTGCAACCCTCAGCTCTCAGCGGTCTTTTCTGAGGGATTTTCGCTCCCCTTTCCTGCCAGCCCTCGGCCCTAATATCCCCACTCACTGGCATGCCCCCACTCGCCGGCTCCACCGGCATGTCCCCACTCGTCGATGCACATGCCCTCCCAGTCAATCTCGTAGGCTCCCATCTCAGCAACAGCCACCGCAAACCAACTTCCTCAACACACCCGCAAGCTTTGGAGGGGGCGTTCTTGCGCAAACACGAAAACACGCTCGCGGGAAAACGCGCCCTAAGCTGTCTTCTTTCCCGAAAGACACGGCTTGCGAAGGAAGGATAACTTACCACTTGCCAAGATTGGGTGGGTGTAAGCTGTTGAGCGCAATGCTGTGAGTTGTGTGTGTGCGACGACCTGCCTGTTGGTCGCGGCAAGAGTAGCGGCCACAGCTGTTCAGGCACCTTGGCTGCAATTGCCATTCAAGGGGCTGTGTATTGCTTGGGCTCTCTGGCGTGCAAGGAGCCATGGAGAGAGGCTCTTGCGGCTTTCTGCAAAAATAGTTCTTGCTCAGAAACCAATGGCCGACGAACCGGTTGCCTCGCTTTTCACATGTCCTGACAGGTTGGCAAGCAATCCCAGAAGAAGCAAGGAAATGTCGCACCACAGCGTCCTCTCCAACGCTCGCACAAACAACACTCCCAGGCACTCTTCCGGCGAGTTGTACTGGTTGGGCGGCTCGTTTGCAGCGTAATGGGGGGCCGGCAGCACCACCACGTCAAGCCTGCCCAAGGCAACAAGAAGAACAACAACAATAACGACACCAACAACACCAACAACACCAACAACGCCAACAACACCACCAACACCAACACCAACAACACCAGCAACACCAACAACACCCACAACACCAACACCACGAACGGCACCAACAGCACCAACAGCACCAACACCGACAACACCCACAACACCCACAACACCAACAACAGCAACAACACCACCAACACCAACACCAACAACACCAGCAACACCAACAACACCCACAACACCAACACCACGAACGGCACCAACAGCACCAACACCGACAACACCAACAACACCAACAACACTGACACCACCACCACCACCACCACCACCACCACCACCACCACCACCACCACCACCACATCACCAACAACACCACCACACCAACAACACCACAACACCAAACACACCAACAACACCAACAACCCTGACACCGCCACCGCCACCGCCACCACCACCACCACCACCACCACCACCACCACCACCACCACCACCACCACCACCACATCACCAACAACACCACCACCACCAACATCACCAACAACACAACCAACAACACAACCAACAACACCACCAACACCACCACCAACCGCACCAGCAACACTACCAACGACGCCACCAACAACACCTCCAAACAAGCGCAATGTCTCTCACACACAAACATCCCCCCTCGGCCGCCCCTCTCATGCAGACATTTCATTGAAGTGCGTGGGTCCCTCACAAACAAATCTCTTGCCGCCCACACAAACCCCTCTCACGATCGCCAGCATAGACCGTGTCTGATGGCCAGCACGGCGGCAACAAAAGCCCGCACGAAGTGCAGCAAGTCTGCCAGAAAGCGTGCTTGGATATCCACATGACTTCTGCTTGGGACACGCCAGGTTTTCCTACCTTGCATCTCTACGAAGCTTTGGGCGCTACCCCAACAACATACACCGAGAGATCACGACCATGATGGATGATGTGCCCCGGACGCCTGCGCCGCCAACGGAACCCCTACGCTGCAGTCAGCGTCATGCCAGGTTGGCTGCGTTGCAATTGCTTGGCCTACGCTCAGTACTTGTTTGGCTCTGTCTTTTGGTTAATTTGCTTTGAGCTCGGTGAGGGACGCACCTGGCTTTGCTGCTCTGCCACCAGTGTTTGGGGACAAGTACCCCGCAACGGAGTTGAATACGCTCAGCGTGTTCAAGAAGAAGGAGGATTGCCCAAAGTTGCGAGGCAAAGGAGGCCAAATTAGGGGCCTGTCGCCAGCTGTGCAAAAGATTTGGGCCCACTACGCCGGCAACAATGATGTTATTGCCGGACTGCGCAGCTTTGCACTTGCGCCATGAGTTTGAAGAACTCCTTTTGGGCCTTGCCGCGAAACATCGCCCAGGATCTCGTCGAGAAGATGCACCTATTCGGCTCGCTCTACGTGCAATGCTTCAAGCATTACCGGTCGCTTGGAGCGGAATGCGACTTTAGATTAAATTTCCTTGGACGCGCGCAGCTTGCCAGGTTCCATGCGTTTGTGACAGAGCAGTGTGTGAGAGAGAGAGAGGGCGGGCAGAGGGTAGACCTTTTGTTGTGAAAGAAAGGGACAGAGAGAAAGGTAGAGAGGACAAATAAGAAGATATTGCTTCATGACACGCCGGACGCGACCGCCGCTTCTCAAAGCAAGCTGCGCTCAAGTGCATTGTTGTGTGTGTGTGACAGAGAGAGAAAGAGACAAGAAATGACAAGAACACGGTTGCAGGTAGTAAAATACGACACGGGTGCGCTATAACATGTTCACTGCCCACGATTTTCCTAACAATTGTTTTTGTGCTTGTGAGTGTTCTCGCTGCTGCCGTGGAGGGGCTTGACTCCAGAGCTGCTATGGTGGCCATGCTGCAGTCGTTTGAGGACGATGCGGCGGCGAATTACCAGAAGATCTGGGAGGCCTTGGTCGGCTTGGACCAAGACCAAAGGCAAGAAGGGCGAGGCAAGGCTACCAAGGCGGCGGGCCTGGGCTCGGATTTGGCAACGACAGCTGCGGGCACCCTTGCGCGCAAGGGGGTCGCAAGCCCCATCCTGGCCAGACACGCAGCCGAGTCCCCAAAGCCGAGCCGTCGCGAAAAAGGGCAAGAAACAGCAAATTCACTCTGGTAAAGCGTTCTAAAAGCGCCCATACAGATAGCGAGTTGCACCCACAAACCAAAGATATCCAAGCAGCCAGGAACCCAGTCGTGGATAGCACCAGACCCTCAGCAAAAGTTTTGCGGAGCCACCAAGGCTACGTGGTCGCAGGGGCAACCAGAATCCTTGTTGAAAACACGAGGAGCAAAGGAGCGGCCCAAGAGAGGCACCGATCACGCGCAACTGCAGATGATCGCGCAGAGCAGGGCTACCACATGACCGAGACAGCCAAGAACCGACACAGAGTGATAGCGCAGCTCTCTGACGCTCGTCCCGGCTTGAGCGGCTTATGAGGCTCGACCATCTAGCACCTTGGAACTGTCGAGCGTGAGGAAGGTCAAAGGAGCCACGGTTCTGCGAGAAGCTCAGTAACCAACCACTCACACAAAACAGCAATCCAAACACAAAAAGCGCTTGATCATACACACAAGTGGCAGACGGGTGAGTTCGTTTTTTGACCTGCAGACCTCTCAAGAAAGCTGAGCGCACTCACTTCCAACGAGCTCCTCTCCAGCGGCACCAACCTGCGTCAAAAGAACGGCGCCAAAACTACACCTGCACGTCAAGCCTCTCACTTGCAACTTGAAAGCTTTCTTCGCAGGTTGACAAGAACCGCACTCCCCCGCCCTCAATCTCAACGTTGGAGTTTTGCGGCAGCAGCAACAACATTGACATCACGCGGGGGCCAACAATCAGGCCCAGCTTGCCGTGCTCCCAGTGCTTCCAAGTACTGCCCTGCGCTGCCAGTGCTGTTGCTTGCCTGCGCGTGCCACAGAAAAAACACCGAAAGCTACAATTTCAAGAAAATTGCGTATTATTTTTGAGCAACACACAAGCTGCGGCGACTCTGCGTGGCAGGCGCGAGCAACATGAGCAGCAGTCCTCACAGCACTGCAACAGCACTGGGAAGCACTGGGGAGCGCTGGGAGGAGCTGAGAAAGAAAAGGAGCCAACCACGCGCAACGCAAAACCACACCCGCGTAGGCTGCCAGCGCCAAGAAACTGACTGCTGCCCTGCGCGCGCCTGAACACGTCAACCCACTAACCGCAGCCAACCCCATGCTGCGATGGGCAAGTTTCAAGCCTCCTGCACCCTTGCAGAGCGGAGACGCCAAGCGTTGGGAGTTCCAGAGCGTCACACACACATACGCAGACACACACACACAGACAAACAGACACACAGACACACCAAACAACCGACACACCGACACACAGACACACACACACACACACACACACACACACACACACACACACACACACACACACACACACACACACACACACACACACACACACACACACACACACACACACACACACACACACACACACACACAAACACACACACACACACACACACACACACACACACACACACACACACACACACACACACACACACACACACACACACACACACACACACACACACACACACACACACACACACACACACACACACACACACACACACACACACACACACACACACACACACACACACACACACACACACACACACACACACACACACACACACACACACACACACACACACACACACACACACACACACACACACACACACACACACACACACACACACACACACACACACACACACACACACACACACACACACACACACACACACACACACACACAAACACACCCGCACACACACAAACACACACACAAACACACAAACACACACACACACACAAACACAGACACGCACACACACACACACACACAAACACACACAGAGACAGAAACAAACACACAGAGACACAAACACAGACACAGACACAGACACAGACTCATCAAAAGCAATTTGGGTCATAGATCCGGTAGGTTTAGATCCGGTAGGTTTCATTAAATGCAAGTAGTATCAAAAAGTGGATAGAGTAGGTTTCTGTAAGTTCATGAGGGGAAGAAAGAACCAGACCCCAAATCAAAACGTGATTCAAAAAGAAAAAACCCGAAACTAAACATATGCGTAAACTCTCCCACCCTGGGTTTACAGTGAGCATCTTGACAATTGTCGATTGCCCAGCAAGCATTGCCACTTCAACTGGCGCGCTGTCACTTGTCTTCACGTCTGCCCTTTTTTTTCAGAGCAAATGTCTCTCAGACTCAGCCCTCTCAGGAGTCTCACCTCAGGCAAATGACACATGTGTGAGTACTGTGAATCACACACCAACCAAATGTGAATGCCACTGGAAGCAAGGACTGGCATCAAATCTCTTCTCTTATTTTGGCCAGCCCGGCAGCAAAGGATCTTCCTATCAAGGACCCGTGCTAGAGTCAACTACCACGTGTGGTCAACTGCCCAAAAACGGACACCACTTCGTCCGAAAAGCAAGAAGGATAGCTTTGTGACTTGAGCAATGCATCATGTTTGCCAGTGAATTGGCCATCTTTGCGGTCAGCCAAGCTCTCAAGCATCCACATTGGCCTTGGCCTGGTCAGCGCACTGAAGCCTGGGTGAGTTGAGTGAAGCTGCTGCAACACCCGTTTCATACATGGAAGTTCCGGGAAGTGCAAGTCATGAGCCATGCCAGAATCCACATTAGGGCAGTCACTTCGCCCAGGCAGTTCCCTTCCACAACGAAGGGCACCAACTTGCCAGGGAAGTCATTGCTTGATGAGCGTTCTGACTGCGCACGGCACAAGGCTGAGAAGCTGCTGCACTGTGTCCCAAACCAGATGAGCGCACCACCAGTTGCGCATGCTAAAGCATCAAGCCATAGCGCCAGCCCATGGCTTACCAGGCAATTGTGGAGCTCAGTGAAGCACGAATCAAAGGCTGCAACCCGC